ACTCTAGGGCTGGTATTGTTAAATATCTTTATAACTGATCTGGAAACTCAGATAAGTGATGAAAGGGCCAGATTTGTAGATAAGAGAATTTGAAGGAGTTGCACACACAGAAAATATAGCAATGTGGAGAATACTTAGAAGATGAAGTAGGCTAGCAAAAGAAAAATACCATTTACTTTCCTACAAATATTTTTAAATGAAGTTTAATATAGAAAAATCAAAGACATCTGGTTGGGGTGGGGGAACAATATAGGAGAATGTTAGGTGCGTGGAAATGAAAAAAAAATTTGGTGGGGGTTTTTTGTTTTGTTTTGTTTTCTGTATTAAGTAGCCTGAGTCATGCCAGGACTTGAGCAATGTGTGACTGGAGCATGATATACCATCAAAGTCAGTGGGACTATTCATAAATACCTTCCTTTAATGCTTAAGTCTTTGTATTTTCTATACTCAATTTCATGTTGTATATTTTTAAACTATATTTGCAGGAACATAAATAACATTTCTTTACTAAACATCTAAATATTTGACTTCAGTGTGGCTACTCGTGTGTAAAGTTATGCATATATTTAAGTCTCTGCAGGAACTTAAAGTGCAAAGCTGTTGGATAAAGACATATACCATTTTGTAGATGCATACATAGTGGTAATTCCAGTAGACTGAGTATTTATGGAATACCGTGTACAATTTTGTACACCTGATTATAAAACCTAGAACAGTAAAACAAAGAAAACACAAAGAATAACGGCAAAGATAAGAGCTGAAAGGTCAGACAGGAAAAAAGTTTAACAATGCATATATACCGTAGTTGAAAGAAATGAATAGAAAGGGGCTATGATACTTTGTGTAAAGATATTTGTGGGGAAATGATATAAGGCCAAAGTAATGTACTAGACTTATGACCAAAAATTATAAAGTATTACAGGAAGTATAGGGCTTTACATTAAAGTAGGACAAATGTAGATTAAATATAAGGAACTTATCCTGATGATAAGAGTTTAAACAATGGAATACCCTGCCATGAGAAATCATGATGCACCATATATGGAAATATTAAAAAGGAGATTAGATAAAGTCAATGTACAGTATGTATTAGGTTTAGGCACCTCATTTCGCTTGTCCCATGAGAAGTCACTTTTTAGCCCTTGATTCTTTGACACCCAAGCAGTATATGAAAAAAAGCCAGAATAGTTCCCAGAGCCTTGCCAATATTACCGTTCAATATATTTCTATTTTAAAGTAGATTTGTACTTACAGTGCTATGTGAGCTGTTAAGACCCCTGTGAAATATTGAGAGTATGAAAGCAGCTAAATAAAAAATAAGTTCTGTTCCTGATCCATGAGATCAAAATTTAGGGATTATCGTTTACTGGGGTGATGCATCCTTTAGGAGGAGTGAGCTGCAACTTTGAGACTGATCATTAGGTTGGCATCAAGGATTAGTTAAACTGTTGGAGGGAAGGGAAGATGATGACTCAAAAACACGTGTAATATTTTCATTATAGGGAAGATCACCAGCAAAAACCACCCATAGTACATGAGATCCATTTAATAGTTTATAGTAAAGATATTTAAGATGTATTGATGAAAAGGACTACATGAGAGCTAGGTATTAGAAAACATATGAAGGTGTCCGTTTTAATCTTGATGTTAACTTGCTTTCACAGGTGTATCACTTACCTTCATGTTACTGCAGAATCACTTTTGTGTTATTCTTTAACAGTTTAAAGCACTCCACCTTTAGAAACTTAGGAGAGTAGGTAGACTGTGGGCCAGATTCTCAAGTGAGTTATGGCCTCCAGCACTTGCTTTAAGTATATCATTAGGGTGGAAGCTGGGCCAGCCTTGAGGAACAGACTCCCATCCCCACCCCCAGCAACTCTCTGCCTTCCTCCTGTGCCCAGTGGTGGTCTAACATAGGAGAGAATCTGGCTGTGTAGCTCTGACTGTCATGTATGTATATATTTGTAACTTTTAACAAAAAATACAGATTATGTCCTTGTGTCATTGAAGGACTTCTCAAAATTCTGTTCTATGTATAGTAGTCATTTTTCTAAATGAAATACTAACGAGCACAAATCTCAGTAAAAAGCTATTTCCCCCCCTCCCCCCCGTGTGGATGTTCAGGATAACTACTTTTCTTGTCGACTTTTTTTTTTTTAAAGTGCTCCAGCATGAAGATGTTTTCAGTCATGCCTTGTTCAGCCTGAAGCACGTTTTTATGGTTAATATTGTTCATGTGTGAGCACTTTCAAATGGTAAATTGCGGAACATTTTCCCCATTTTTATATCGTAAACAATTGACCTGTAAGCTAGTGTAAACCATCTAATGGGCAAAAAAGGGAAGAAGCTCTGCCGCCAGCGTGAACAATCTTGTCAGAACCAAGTAATCTTGGAAATAGTGGGGAACGTTGTTTAGTTATGACTTTCAGATACTGTACAGGCATTTAAAAACCACTGACCGGAGCTTGTCAAACATTAGCCAGTCTAAGTTTTGTGCAGTGGATTTTAAGCAGATTAGAGGAGCCCAAGTTAAATGTTTCAGTAATACATTATTTTTATTTTTAGCAGTTCTATATAGGGATACTTTGTGAACCTAAAGTGAGAGATTGGTGTGTTTGCTTCACAGGGAGCTTTGCAACCATTTTGTTCAGTCTTCATCCACATTGTTTCACAAAGAGTGTCACTTTGAGTTCCAAGATTGAAGTTAAAAATGCATATATTGTTATAATGAAGCTCAGTTTAAGCTGCCAAGTTTCACCTTGTTTCACATCCAAAGCCATGGAAGGCTCGCATGTAAACCCGTAAGTCAGCCCAGGTTCAATCAACACTGGTCCCAGGTTCACTTGAAAGCATTGTGAAGCTACACAAACCTTTAGAAGAATCTGGGCTGAGTTTCAAGCTAGTAATGAAACCCATGATCAGGCAGGCTTCACATGCTCTTGAATTTCCTTGAGAACTTTTTACCCAGCTCTGCTTAAGTTTGCTGTGGTTTGTTTTTTGAACATTGAAATAGGGCCTGAACTTTCAGATAACTATTGCTAGAAACAAGGCATGTTACCACATGTAGTCCCGTTGATGTCAACTCATGGTAGTATGCACTACACCAATAGCAAGGGTTTCAGGGTCAGCCCCGTGATCTTTATGCTAAAAAGCATATAGCTGAGTGGGTTGATACTGGAGTGGGAGCCATGAGCATGGATTCACATCCTGGCTCTAACTGGCTGTGTGACTATGGGCAAATCACTTTGCATCTCTCTTGCCCTCTGTAAAATAGGCCCAGTAGTGCTAGCCCATCTCTGTAAAGTGTTTTGAGCTAGTGGATGAAAGAATTATCGTTAGTGATTATTCTTACTACCAGGTTGAAGTTCACTTTCTTCTCTGATCATTTCTGGCCACTGTTGCAACTGCTAATGGTTTCAGGATGCAGTAGCATCCTTTTTCAAACGTAGAAGTTAGTATTTCAAAAGATGATATACTTATAATGTGGGGGCAATATTGAGAACGCATTATTTGATGAGTATGGTTGGCAGCAGTGATGTGCTAAAACCGAATGAAAAGTAAGAATATTTTTGGATTTTTTTGCCATATGTTACAACCCTGTATAGAAATTCAACCTTGATGAAGAGAGTACTGAGAGGGGACATAAGTTTTCAAGTACGTAAAAAGTTGTTACAAGGAGGAGAGAGAAAAATTGTTCTTCTTAACCTCTGAGCACAGAACAAGAAGCAATGGGCTTAAATTGCAGCAAGGGAGGTTTAGGTTGGACATTAGGAAAAACTTCCTAACTGTCAGGGTGGTTAAGCACTGGAATAAATTGCCTAGGGAGGTTGTGGAATCTCCATCACTGGAGATTTTTAAGAGCAGGCTAGACAAACACCTGTCCGGGATGGTCTAGATAATACTTAGTCCGTACATGAGTCCAGGGGACTGGACTAGATTACCTCTCACGGTCCCTTCCAGTCCTATGGTTCTATGACAACACAAAGCCTCCACACCACTTAAGATCCACTTACACCCTCAAAATAGGCCTTGCAAATTACTCTGCAAATCAGCAAACTTTTGCTCTGAGGGACCAAAGAGGGGAATCAGATTCCAGGTTGAAGGGCTACCTGTTAAAATAAGTGGTGCATGGTTGTTTTTTTTTGTTTTTTTTTTGTTAGCCCTATACACAGGAATCGATTTCATCTGAGCTTGCACATGCACATAGCGGGCATTACTGTTGTTCTTCAGACTAGTAAAATCTCTGAGTTGAAATGTGTTTTGGTTTTGTGTGCCTTCTGTATCAAGACTCCTGCATAAACAAGATAAACTGGAATAAAATGAAAATCAAAAGAAATTTTAAATTGGAAAATAGAGTCTTCACAAATGTACAGCACATATGGCTCAGTGTTTTGAATTCTCTTTGTTAGCACCATAGCTGGCAAAATGATAGCTGTCTCTGACTGCGGGAATGAGACTCTCATTAAGAATGCACTAATTGTAGGGTTTGTGCATGCACTCATGTTCATTACTGATTTGGATCCTGGCTTTCTTAGAGATGCCTCTTTCTTAAGGCTGTACTCCAACAGTTAGATCAGTGATGGGGCTTTTACTCACAGTCACCAAATGTAAATATTAGGGAGGCCTGGTTGGAGGGTATTTTTTAGTACTTCTTCCTGAAATATTCTTTCCCTCTTGGTCCATAAGAGCCCAAGTGTGTTGATTTTCAGGGGGCATTCCAAGGTCTTTCTCTTTAAGGCCTACTTCTTTAAGCCTTTTTCATGAGGTGGGTCCCATTTATTTGTGTTAATTGGGAGGGTTTTTTTTTTCTTTTAAAATGTGGCTGTGTTCTAATTCATGGTTGATTTAGAATTGATATACATGTCAATACAACCTGATGTGCATTCTTATAAATTAAAAGATAAATACTTTACAGGCATGTTCAATGAAAAACATTTATCGCTAAAGAAACTTGTGGAGTATTCTTCTTGTAGCTAATCCATTTCCTGTCTGTTGCACAGCTAAAATCGACCAAGAAAATGAAGAGAAGTCACTGACAGAAGCACATAAAAGGTGAGATGAACTAACGCAATAAAACTTTTTCCTTTGAAAGATGTGTTTTCATTCGAAGGTACTGTATTGTAAGCCAACACTAACAGAATTTTCTGGATAGCAAAAGAAATGCATTCAGAAAATACAAGTGATATTTATTTAATGTCAGCTTTGTTTTGAACTTTAGAATAGAAAATCAAAACAACCCAAGCATGCACAGAAGACTATTATAATGGGAAATACACTCATCTTCATGCCTTAAAAAAGAAAGAAAGAAGACATTGGCGTATGAGTGAACTGTTTGAACCACAGTTCTTCACTTATGAAATATCTGCTGTACTAATCATTTTTTTTTAATATCAAGGATGTGTATAATTAAATGTGATTTGATCTGTAAGAACTCAAATTTTTCTTCAAAGGACTTTTGTGATGAAACCACAAATTTCATTACGTATATGAGCAGTGTAAAAGTTTCAAAATTGGGAAAATTCCCCAACTTTGCTGTATTGCACAACTTGTGGTGTGTGTGTGGGGGGGGGTACATGTTGTTCAGTGTTTGTTTAAATGGTGGAGTAAAAGGTGGGGGCAGGAAAGGTTACTTTGTCAGTCACAGTAAAGGACCAAAATGAAAAATAAGTAAACAAACACCGTTTATATTCTGATCAGACTGATGAATGCATTTCTTTACCTGGTTTTATTTGTGGTGTATAATTAATTAATTCTATTTTTACCCAGTATGAGTGAATGCAGTTGGAACTTATTAGATACAAGTGTGTAGATTAAAATGCTTTTTATAGTCTTTGGTAATTAAGTGCAAAGACTTGTCTCTTTTGGTGTTAAACCGTCCTCGCTTTCCATAGAATTGTATTTAATTATTGTCACAGTGCCAAAGTTACACCCAGTGAATAGAAAACTGCATAATATAGTCCTCTTTGATTTGCTCTTGTCTCTTTAAATTCAACTGGCAGAATATAGGATTGCTAAGTAGTGCAGCATAAATAGTTTTGTGATTGGGGCCCATCTGAAGCCTTGGTAAATTATATGTAAGACATTATTAAAATCATTTAGAGGTTTATAATTGCTAAACTGCAGGCTCAGTATTCTTAAAAGCTGTGACGCAAATCCCATAGTAAAACCCAATCTCTGGGTAAGCAAGGGAAATTTTTGAGCATTCCTACTGTATTTTACTGTAAATTAATTGTTCTGTTGGGGGGCTGTCAGACTTCAAAGTTCACTTCCAAACCTGGCAAATCCTCAAGTATTCTGTCCAGGGACCCTTGCCTCAGCACTGCCTTTGGTTTCCCTTCCCTGCTTACTCCCCATTTTCTTGCCAGACTGGCTTAATTGGAACTGTTCTAATGATGCGTGCCTGTGGCCATGGCTATGGCTACACCTAGTGTCTATAGGGACAGTGGGAAGGAGAACAGAATGTCCATCCCCGTGGTCCTTCCTCTGGTCTTGTCCATTCCTGCCCACTAGCCCTCTCTCTCTCCCTCTCCGTCTCTCTACAGAACCTAGATCCTACGTAGGTTGGTGGGGAAAGGAATTATGCCTTATAAGCATATCATGCATTTGTCTAGCAAGGATGATCTGGAATTTTAGCAACCTTTATGTTGTATACCAAAAATTATGTTAAGACCCCAAGATTTAATATTAAGAGACAGAACTTACTCTGTCCACTCACTAGCTATGGAAAAATACATTTACATGATAATATTTCTTTAACTTCTAGCCAGAAACACACTCTCCTTTTTGCTATAGCATAGAATGTTAAAAATGGACATCTCCATAAAAGTACAGAAACTCTAGATAAAAAGCACTTGCAAAAAAAATCTAATTTGAATAATGTTTTGGACTCAATGCACCAATGTGTACTTTAGAAAAATACATATATCCTTTCTTTCCCTTCCCACTACTGAAATTCTTATTCAGCCACTAGAATAAAACTTTTGCTAAGATTTTGAAGGTCGCTTCTTGGTCAATCTCCTTTGAGAAGGATATTTTCAGTGCTAAAGTTTTCTTTACATATCTTCAAAATAAAATGCTTGGATGTTGAACTATTTTAAAGGAGGAGAGCTTAGGAATGCTAAATAAGAGATTAGTTACATTCTGTTAATCATAGGTAGAACAGCAATGTATTGAATGAATAGAGAAGTAAGTAGTACAAGAAAGTGATGGATTAGATGAAGCAAAATTAATGTGATTAATGTACTTGGATTTTTCTTTTTGAAGTGGTTAACTTTAGCCTACATACAACTTAAACACTTAAAATCTACCTCATGATAGTATTTCTTTAACTTCTAGCAAGAAACAGACTCCCCTTTTAGCTATAGCATAAAATGTTAAAAATTGATATTACCATAAAAATACAGGTTTCAGAGTAGCAGCCGTGTTAGTCTGTATTCGCAAAAAGAACAGGAGGACTTGTGGCACCTTAGAGACTAACAAATTTATTTGACATAAGCTTTCATGAGCTACAGCTCACTTCATTGGATGCAATCCGATGAACTGAGCTGTAGCTCACAAAAGCTTATGCTCAAATAAATTTGTTAGTCTCTAAGGTGCCATAAAAATACAGAAACTCGAGGTAAAAAGCACTTGCAAAAAAAAATCTAATTTGAATAATGTTTTGGGCTCAGTGCAACAATGTGTACTTTAGAGAAGCGGAGTTGTGCAATAGATGAGCTGAAATGGAAAGTTAATCTTCCACACAAAATAAAGACAAAGAAAATGGAATGTCTGCTCCAGAGACTCCATACAGTGTATAGCTGTTCATTTGTCACAAGTGAGAAAATGTTTAATCAGTTCTGAAATGATGTATTCTCTCTTTATTTATCGTGTTTAGTGACTTTAAGAGTGTCAGTATGTAAAGTGTTTATCCAAGGAATGGATTTCTGGCACATGGATAAAATGAAAAGTGAAATGTTTAGCACACAATAGGCATATGTTCCAAGGTCTCTCTGAGTAAGTATCCTGAGATGAGAAGAAAGCACACAGGTCTGTGTTTATCTAGCTTACGCAGGCAGACAAGGAAGGCTCCAGCCTGGTATTAACACTGAAGTGACATGGAATGTCTTTGCCATACCCCAAACAATTACATCACTCCCTTAACAATATTGATAAAGTGCAATAAAAAGGAACCTGGCACTTTCCAATTAGACCCTCATTCGTAAATACTTGTGAACCTGTCAAATACTTCACAAGTTAAAGTAGGAACCACTTTTTTTTTTTTGAGGGGGGAGAAGAGAGGGAGAGTGTTGGGAGGAGAAGGGCCATGAATTATATTTTACATTGTTTTCATTTTAAATAATCCTTAGGTAATTTAGGTTAAGCACTTCTCATTTTGTCCTGCGGCCCACAGCTGTATGGCTGAAATACTGAACTTCTACTAGATATTGATGGATGGATGAAGTGACTCTCTACTAAAATTAGAACACTTGGCCTTGTTTTCACAAAGAATTAAGAACAATTTCCTCTTCTTCCCCCTACCCCTTTTTGTTGTGTTCAGCTACTGAACGTTTTTGCTTGCTTGACAAGTTTTTAATCATGACCTTCATTTTCTGGGAGTGGGGAGAGAAGTTTTAGTTCCATTTTTTGGGGGGGAAGGAAACTGCATTTAATGCAATTTACAAGGGATAAGGTTTGATCATACAACTTACGACAGGAAAAAGAGGCCCACAATATCAGACCGTCATTGTCACCGAAATACAGTAGTTATGATACAGAAGTTTCCTTCCTTCCTTCCTTCTCACCCCCTCCTACTCACTTCATTCCAGGGTACGAGCAGCCTCTATAGCATCATGTTACTGGCACATTGTCAGAGCTGTGTCTGGCCTTCATATCTTCTCATACGGGTTCTTGTAGAAGCAGAAGCTAAGTAGTAAAGCCAGACCCATCAAAAATGGCAACAGCAATGCTGCAGCAAGATCAATTCGCTTTCCTGGACTGTGTGCCTGTGAATGAACAGCTGAAGCCTTAGTACCCATTATTAAGCTGTTTTGATCTATGTTTCCTTTGGGCCTAGTTCAAAGTCTGGTTCCCATATTAAGTGCTTATCTCTTTAAAAAAAAAAAAAAGGTGGTATGCTAGTTTCCCAAAGTCAATAGCACTAGAGGATTTAGCATGAATCTTCCTCTTCCATCACCAGTGTCTGCTTGTAGAGAAACACTTTAGAATCCATGTACAAGTTCGCCTTCAGAGCTTGGAGAGAGTCCACTTACTAGTGATATCCATTTGGCAAATTATGAAACAACAGATTCTAAGCCCAATACAGTAGCTACTAGTTGGGCTGGTAATGCTTAGATGTGGGTGAACCCTAACAGATTCGGACTGGGAATCTGACATCTGTCAAAAACAATTAATTTGCACTGAAAATTACTCCGTTTCAGATGATTTATGTGGAGCCTCTGAAAATGACGTTGCTTGGAGTAGTGCATGTTTAGCGTCTTCTAGATTATTACAGTGTGTCCCTTCCAAATATTATAAACTATATTTTTATGTATGTTTTCACTGTTTTCTACGTTTTCAGGCAAAATGGTGATAAGATGTGATTACCAGGAGGCATTCACATTTAAGGGCTGCTTTCCTTTGGACTCCTTAGATGGCTGAAGGCTGTAGAAAAGAGTTTTACGAATACATTTTGCTATTGATCCCTGGTAAAGGCCAGATAGACCAAAATGTTGGATTATCATCCTGGCTGGGTTATGTTGTGATGGATTTAAATTGATATGAGAATTTAGAGTAAGTTCTGCTATGTGAAATTGAAATTTGCTCTGTGATGCAGTAACAGGTACTTGATATATAATAAAAGGACAAATGGATGGTTTCTGCACACTAACGTAATTACTGGCTGCGGAATTTAGGATGAGTACAATTGGATATGGAACACCCATCTACTCATTTCAGGATGTTTTTGGTTTGGTTTATTTCATTATTTGATACAGGTACTTCTACATTCCAAGGATTGCTAGGTTTTAAAGTGCTTCCCAAGTGCTGTCTCTCAGGCACCTCTTTGTTTTCTG